TTCTCTGTGAGGTCAGACACTTTATCAGCAAAACTCAGAACTTTGACTTTTTTCTTGTTCCAGAAGCATCTGAGCTCATTCACCATTTTATCTGTGATGATCAGCATTTCTTGATTCTTGAAAGTCTCTTTTTGGACTTGCTTTGGCTTTGAGTTGGATCTGGATCTGGTCTCAGGTCCCTCTCTGAGGTCAGATAGGGAACTTTGTTCAGACTCAGYTTCTTCCAGTGGTGTGAATCTGTTTTGAAGAAACACTGCTTCATTTCTCTGGCTGTTATCAGGTGTTTTGATTACAGCCTGTTGCTGCTTTATTCTCCTTGCAGGTGGAGAGAAAACATTTCTCTGTAACTCTGGCCATTCGTTGCCATCTAAGAGCTGAATTCTTCCTGAGAGATTTTTTGGTCTGGCACCAACAGAGTTCCATACAGCTTCACCCTCAGAAGCAGCTTCCATCTCCTCTCCCTGTTGATCTCTCCTCTCAGCCTTCTCACCCATTTTAACACATGTTGAGTTCTCCATAGCATTCATCTCTTCCAAACGATGAATCTTGAGCTCCAACACCGTCACCTTTTGGAGAAGCTGGCAGAAATCCTCTTTGGAAAACAAAGGAGGCATCTTGAAGCTTTTCTGTACTCACTCTCAGCAGTTGATGTTTCAAAAATCTTCTCAGGTTCTTCAACAGCTAAAAATAAAATGCAATGTTCTCTGCTTATTCAAGATCATCCATCACGTTGGGGTCACCAAATTGTTGGAAAAATATGCGTTGTTCAAAATGGTATGTCCGAATAAACAGGATTCAGCTGGGTTTCTTGTTAAAACCTTTATTTTCAGTCCTCTGACTCCAATCAGGTTCATACAGCTCTCAGCAGCACAGGCCTCAGCGTACAACCTTGGGCCAAATCAAAACAAACACGGGAGATCTGCTCTGAGCAGACACTCTGCAAAACACTGACAACTTCTTTCTTCTATAATAATGACTTCAGCTTATAATGTTCATCCCTTCCTGGTTACACCCCAGAGGTGTTACCTTTTACGTCAGACGTCAGAACGTCACTCAGTTTTGTTTAGGCAAAGAGAAAGAACACATGGTAACACACACACACACCAACTCTTATTCTGTTATGGCCTTAAAGCTGTAATGATCAGAAAGTATAAAATACAAAACTGAATCTAATATTCAATTAATCAGTTACAAAATTTCTTCACTCAGTTACATTAAAAATAATTCGGAAAAGACCTAAAATGTATTTAAGCAAATAGGTTAATTTTGTTTTGTGGATCAGTTTATCATTTTGAAACAACCACTATAAAGCCATTGCAGGACAAAGAAGGTACTTTGATTAGCAAAATATGGTTTTGTCATGTAAAACGCTGACTCACCTTTTCACCCTTGCTGCCATATAAACCTTTAGGACCCTTAAGAAATACGGAAAAGTAAATTTATAACCTGCTAATATGAAATGTTTGAATGAGCTAAATTCTTGAAAAGTTGCTCACAATAGGACCAGGAGTTCCTTTAACACCCGGAGAGCCTTTTTCACCCTGAAAAAAAGAAACATTTTTCTGCTTAATTAAGTTTCCTTTGTAATAAAATTGCTGTATTTTTACTCAAAACGATATAAACTGAGCTCACCCGTCTCCCTGGGGGGCCGGGCACACCCCTGGCACCAGGCTGACCTGGAATACTGTCACCCTGATAGAAAGTTTGGAAAATTAAAAAAGGGTTTTTGCTTGTTTGGTGCATTATTTTATTTCCTGAAGTAATAACTACGTGTTGTGTGCACAAGAAGAAACGTGAAAGAAATCTCATGAAGTCTGAAAAACAAACTAGTCTTATTACCTTTTCTCCTTTTACTCCAGGTATCCCAGGAAAACCCTTTAAAAACATAGAGTTGTAGTTTTTAATTCAGTGTTGACTGTATGTCAGGGTCAACAGAATATACTGTAGGTAAATTAAAAAAATAATTAAACTATGACGTGAACTCATACATCAGGTCCTGGTGAGCCTCGAGGTCCCTGAGCTCCAGGCGATCCATTCTTCCCCTTTTTACCTCGTTCCCCCTACGTAAACATACATTTTTTATGATTTTAATTCATGTTACTATTTTTCTACTTTTACAAATATGCAGCACCACTTTACTTCATGTTAAATATGACTGAAGAAGATTATGTGTAACGTTTTACCTCTCTACCCGGTTCTCCAGGATCTCCTGGTGGACCCCTGAGTCCTGGAGAGCCCTGGATGCCTATATTACCATGGATACCCTGGATGCCTTGAGCACCAGGAGGTCCTGGTTCACCTGGCTCACCCTGAGAGAGATTTGGAGAGAAAACTGAATGTGTGAAGAACAAAGACCATGTGTCCCATAATGTCATGTGTAATTTATTACATTCGAATAATTGCTTTAATATGAAGTCATTTTCTTTTTATCAAATTAAAACTAAAATGCAACTTTGAATGAGAAACTGAGTCACTGAATCAATTAAATCCTTTTTAATTAAACTGTGATGAGAAACAAAGCCAATCACAGTGAATGGTATAAAAGACTGCATTGTTTAATGGGAACTTGTAAGTCAGCTTGCTCTTGTTTGTAATTTATTATTTCCTTTTTAACATTTAAGATGAAGGAGCAAGAAAGCTTCACCTTCTGTCCTGGAGGACCAGCCTGACCTTCTGGACCTCTGTGGCCAATACCTGGCTCTCCCTAAAAACACAAAATTATCAACACAATAACAATAAACAATAAAAAAAAACTGCCTCAAATCACTTTTCACCTTTTGTCCCTTTTCACCAATTTCACCCTGAAACGAAGACAAAAAAAAAAACAGAACATAGTTAGAGAAGCGCACCATGACGTGTCTTTTTCTTGTGCTCAAATAAGCAAACTCAGAGGAATTTGAAATAAAAAAATCAAATTTAAAAATAAAAAAAAACAGGACTTGTCAGCATGTTTAACAAGGGGAATTATTAATGCCGGCTTTAATCTACTGTCTCACAGTCGTACAGAAATAGAGCAGAGGGGACATCAAAGGCCTGGATTCAAATGATGTTCCTGACAGGCGAGACAGGACAGAAGCTCTGATGTCATTTACTGATGCTCTGTGGACAGCCAGCAACAGCCATGAGATTTTTATGAACTGGTGGCACGTTTCATGTAGGGACTGTCAGTCTTGGTTTGCGCTCCATGATGGTGACCATACTGCTTTAATTGTCTCAGTAAAGAACATATAAAACATTGTTCTTATATTTTCAAGTGGGCCACAAGCATTTCTGTATTTTTGATTGAGATTTTTACCTTTYGTCCTGGTTGTCCATTTTCACCTGGGTGCCCCTGTTGAGTAAAAGTACAAACAYATGTACAGTAGCATTTAAAACAAGGTGATACACTGCATACACTGTTATTAGACATTTTACAGATTTTCAAACTCCAAACAGTAGAATTTTACTTGTTTTTTATTTATTTATTAGATTTAAGCATATTCAGGTTTGTGTAACAAGAAAGAATATTGTTGCCCAAGTAATTTAGGAATAAGATGCTTTTATTGGTCACTATTATTGTATTTGATACTGAGCAAAATAAATATAAGTTATTAAATATCTGGACAGTTTTGCTG